TTTCCCCACGGGTGTTTCTATGAATGTGGCTCTTGGCTTCGGCTTGGGAAAGGTGCCCTCGCAGTGTCTCCCACAGTGCCCTGTACCTCCCTCCCTAAGTCCTCACTGGCTTACAGAGCCCGCATCTGCGTGTCCATGAGGATCCATTCTTCCTGCATCCCGCCCCATCTAACAGAAGGGACAACTGAGACCCAGAGACTGTGACAGCCGCTGACCTGTGGGAAGCTCTGACTTCTCCCCCAGCTCCATTTGTTCCCATCCACGTGTCAGAGCCCCTCCAAGGTGCCCGGCCCGTGAGGGCCCAGCGGTGAGGGCAGCTCTGTCTTCATGAGGTCAGGGTCTCAGTGCTGGTAGAGGAGGGGGTCCAGAGAGGAAACCCCCAGGGGCAAGGACACACCGGTCACACCTGGAGGTCAAGGGTGGGAAAGGAGAGGGCCTGCTGCCAGCACAACAGGCATTTTAGCAGGTGGTGCCCGGACAGCCCCTCGGTGCATGTGCATGTGAGCGCGCACACCCCAGGCACACACATGCACACACACGCACACACACGCGCAGCTCCTCACTGGGATGCCGGGGCTGAGGCCCTACACTCACCCATGACGTTGAGGAAGATGTTGCCCGAAGCCAGGACCACCTTCTCCCTCGTGGCGCGGTCGTAGATGCCCACGTGGCACTCGTAGGGACCGTTGTCCGAGACGCGGACCTCAGGCAGCCTGGGGGAGGCAGAGCAGCAGGGTGAGGGCCTGTGATCCGGGGCTGAAAGGCGCCACCCCCAAGCCCCACTGTTCAGCCTTCGCTGAGCAAACCCTCCTGGATCAAGCGCATGCCTGCTGGGCTGAGAGGAGGAGCCACACTTATGGAACGCCAACTGTATGCGGCCTGTGCTCAGTGCTTCCGAGGGCAGGGGCGAGGCTGTGTTCAGCTGAATTAAATCTGTGCTCCTTTCGGCTTCATGGACTGGACGGCAGTGGTGCCCACCCGAGGGGGCCTGGGGATGACATGGTCCGGAGGCACCTGGCGTGTGGTACAGGCTCAGAACTGCGACCTAGCACATCCCTCCATGGCCGCCCTGTGTGTACGGATTGTCATTCCCATTTCATAAACGTGGACACTGAGGCTCTAAGAGGGACGGAGTGGCTAACACGAGCTAAGGTGGGAATCTGAACGCTGCCCTACTGTCACTTTATGCCCAGATCTGGGGATTTGAGAAGAAACGCAGTAAAATTCTTGTCTTCAAGGAGCCTGCCCCCATGGACGAGGAGGCAGGGCAGCCGATCATCGCTCCCAATCACGTGGGAAAGGGTGGGCCGATGGAGCACAGAGGGAGCAGCAGCTTCTGACCCAGGTCATCAGGAGGGCCTCTCGGAGGAGGTGACCCGTGGGGACAGGAGAAACCCATTCAAACCTTACTCCTCTAACAGTCCAGAGAGTAAATCTTTTAGGCTTTGTTGCTTTTATAGTCTCTGTCCATGTAGAGTAGAAGCAGCTACAGACAGGGCCTGGGCAAATCAGTGTGGCTGTGTTCCGATAAAACTTTATTTATTGCCATTGCCATTTGAATTTCAAATACTTTCTTGTGCCCTGAAACCTTCCATTTTTGCTATTTCCCATCATTGGGGAAAAAAAAGGAAAATACATTCTAGTTCACAGGCTGTTAAAAAACAACACCAGCTGGATTTGGCCCACAGGCTGTAGTTTGATGATTCTTGTTCTAGATCCTTCTTCGGGGTGTGCTAAGAATGGGTTGCTACGCGGTTCTCTCTCCCTGTGGAAAATGCCGACAGGGCGGCTCTCTCCTCACTCCTGCGTGGGAGACCCCTGTCTCTCTCTGAGCCTCCGTTCTCTCATCTAAAATATGGGGCTGATACTCCCCAGGACCTTAGTGAGGATTAAATTAGACGCAGTCCCGGCCAGACCTCTGTCGGAACAAAAGTGGCCTTGAGTGGAGAGGCACTGTCCCCTGCTGTCCCCTGCTGTCCCCTCATCCTGCAATGCCCCGAGCCTCCCCCCTGGAGTTAGAGGCCGCATCGCAGCTGCATCAGGAAATCTGTGTCCTCCAGCCAATTCCAACCTTATCTGGGTGCAGTCACGCAGCCAAAAGGGGGTCTATTCTGGCCCCAGCTTAGAAGTGGGGTCACGTGATTGGCTCTTAGCGGTTCTCATGCTGCAGCAGGAAAGTGGGGGGAGAAGCTCAAACTGACAAATGCCTAGTAAATGCTGAGCGCATTAAACTGGCCCAACGGTCCCTGCCACCCGGAGAAGGGAGGCTCCTCAGTCCAGTTCTTCGCTCCGACCCGTCGTGGACACATTTTCCACGGTTCCCGGCTAAGCCTCTCTCTCCCCCATCTGCTTCTGCTGAGCAATCTAACCTCAGATTTACTCCTTCCTCCTCTTATTTCTGCTGTACCCCCTGTTTTTGTCTTCCAGCTCCATTTCCTATGATTCACTACCCACCCGCCACTTCCCCCTCGCCACCCCACACCTGGGCCCCAGCCTGGATTTCCGTGGCTGCTGTCTCATTGAGGGGATCCAGCTCCCCTTCCTCCTACCGCCCAGCACACATTAGCATAAGCAAACACCTTCATTTACATAGAATATACAGAGGTTGACATCTGGTCCACCGACTGTCATGAAAGGCTTAAAGAACAGGGAGCTTTTCATCAGGGAAAGGGGGTGGGGATGCGGCTTCCCTTTCCCTCCCTCCCAGGGCTCTCAGGGAGCCCAGCGCCCTGGAAACAGCAGGGAGCTCTCTCTCCCCTCCGGGAAGTGTTTTCTTTGTTAGTAACTCCAGACTGAAAAAAAAAAGCCTCCCCAGGGGGCACTGCTGACAGTGACAGTCACCACAAGTGACATGTTTAGGTGACACTCATAGGTGTCAGGGATCGAGGCTACCTGCCTAAGCGACAGCGTGGGCGACAGGTGCGCAGGCGACACGCTCCGGTGCCTGCTCTGCAAAGAAACCGGCTCGGGGGAGCCGTGTGGCTTCCAGCCACCCGGATGACGTAAACAGAGGATAATGACATGGTTGACACGCAGGTGGGCATGTCCAGGTAGCCGCCGCATTGGTGATCTGTGCAGATGTGCTTATGTGCTGGCGACACAGGTGACATGTTTAGGCAATCGCTACGCTGATGACATGCTCAGGCGACAGTAACATAAGCAATCTGTCTGGGTGACACGTATGGGTGACGTGACGCAGATGGTGCAGAAGACAGCTCAGGGGACACCTGGGTGGGTGCTGTACGAGGAAGGCAGCATCTCACGCAGCTGCTCTCCCGCCTCAGATGTTCTCTCTCCTGGTTTCCCTGGCCCCACAAATGGTCCAAGTCTCACGGCCGGGCTCCATCCTTCATCCCCATTTCTCTCTCCCCAGGCACAGTCAGGGACTGCACCCCGGGGTTCAGCCTCTTAAACGGATCCTGCGCTATCCACTTGCCCCACCTGCACTGCACGCCGCTGCTCACCGGGACAGGGAGGAGGGCAGGTAACCAGCTTTCTGCCCCTGCCCATCTCCCTCCTGATCGGCTCTCCAGGCAGCACCCAGAGGGTCTCAAATGCCAATGGCATTCATGGTACTGCCTCACCCAACGCCCTTCGAAGGCTTCTCTCTGCTCCAGGATAAAGACCAGGGTCCAGATCTTGGCCAAGAAGGGCCGCACACGGTCTCCAGCCACACCTCAGCCCCCCCTTCGCCAGCTACAGGGGTGTTCTTTCCATCACTCCTGGGGGCCAAGTTCTTTTTCTAAAACGCACACTTTTTATTTCGGAGTTATTTTACAGAAAAACCGCACAGAAACTAGAGAGCGCCCCACACCCTCGCCAATTTCGCCCGCTGTTGGCACCTCACGCGCCCACAGTGCCATCGTCAGCGTAAGAGACCCACGTCGACATGTCGCTGCTAACTCACCTCCAGATTTTACCCGGATGCCACCAGCGTTTCCTTTTTCTGCCCCAGAATCCCGTCGGGGTCCCTCAGAGGTGACACTCACAGGTGACTTCAGCCGCGTTCCCTTCATGACTCAGCATGTTTTCTGGCAACATTCTCCTTTCCCGAGAAGATGGCATTTTCTTCCCCTGGCACAGCCTTCCAGTTACAGAGCAACGGTCAGTTCTCAGGGACCTCCTGGACTGGGAGGGCGGGCAGACTGCTGGCATCGATGGCCGGGATGGGTGGCCGCCCTTATCCCTGCTTCTTGCCATGTGCCCTTGCAGTTCCCCTGTCTAGGGGCGGAGTCTCTTTCCCCTGCTTGGCCCTGTGACTTGTCTCAAAAGAATCCCCACCCCCCACGTTCTCCCTTTCTCTGACCGGAGAACAAGCCTCTGAAGCAGTGGTTCTCAACCTTCCTCATGCCGCGACCCTTTAATACAGTTCCTCATGTTGTGGTGACCCCCAACCATAAACTTATTTTCCTTGCTACTTCATAATTGTAATTTTGCTACTGATACGAATTATAAGGTAAATATCTGATATGCAGCGTGCATTTAGGCGACCCCTGTGAAAGGGTCATTCGACCCCCAAAGGGGTCGCGACCCACAGGTTGAAAACCGCTGCTCTGAAGGAAGATGAGGGCACATGGAGAGAGGCCCCATTGGCCCAGCCCTTCCAGTCAAGGCTACGTTCAGGAATGCGCCTAGCCAACAACCCCTAGCCTCATGAGCAATAATACATGGTTGTTGCTTTAAACCAGTGGTCGACAAACCGCGGCTCGCGAGCCACATGCGGCTCTTTGGCCCCGTGAGTGTGGCTCTTCCATAAAATACCACGTGCGGGCGCGCATGTACAGTGCGAAGTTGACTTAAAACTTTAAAGTTGATTAAGTTAATTTTAGGGAACGTTGTGGAGTGAAAGAAGATGTAGTGTCGAGGATTGAGAAAGGTATGTTGAGATGGTTTGGACATATAGAGAGGATGAACGAAAGGAGATAGATGAAATAAGTAAACACGACGAGTGTGGATGGGAGAACTGGAAGGGGTCGACCTCAGCGAACGTACCTCAATCAGATTGAAGACGTTTTTAGCAAAGGCCAGCTTGGGAGTACCCTAATTAAGTTAATGACAATGTACCTACCTATATAGTTTAAGTTTAAAAAATTTGGCTCTCACAAGAAACTTCAATCGTTGCCCTGTTGATATTTGGCTCTGTTGACTAATGAGTTTGCCGACCACTGCTTTGAACCATCCAGGTTTGGGACCGCTTGTTATGCAGCAATAGCTAACTGATACAGCAGGTCTCCTCATAGCTCTCCTTAGTAGTATTTGTCTAAATGATAACTTAACCGGATATGTTGCGACTCTCAAATGCCCTCCCCTCCTGGCCACGCTCAGTAAGCTCCATGAAGGCAGGGTCTGCATCTGTCTGGTTTACCAGTGTATCTGGGACTTGCACAGAGCTCACCATCATGGTAGGTCCTCAATCAATATTTGTTACATGGATGGGTGATGGCTGTAGTGTAAGCATGGAGAACCCTGCCTCCCCCTGTGCAGAAGCCCGGGCCAGCCCCTCCCCAACCCAGGCAGAGTCTAGTTCTTATCTCCAAGCCACAGCTTTGATTTGGACCAATCCGCCTCAGTGCCTCATCTGAGCTGGTGCCTTCAGCGTTATCCTTCCAAAGTGGATTAAGCAGCCCAGAGACCCTTTTTCCGCAGACTTGAGTGGCATTGATCTGCATGCGGAATAGAGGGCCTTCGCAGATAGCAGGGCCCCGCGGGGGCT